TTATGCCTACCTCTCTTGCTCCTTGAAATTTGTTACTGCACTTCTCACCTTCTTTGTGCTCTTTCCCCTTCCATGCTGCATTCCAGACTTTTATCTTATCATGCCTTTGTTTTTTGCACACTAACATTTGTATATCTCACCCTCTTTTCCATTTCTTCCTCCTTTCCCACTTAGCTCATGCTGTCACATCTTCCTATGGACCCACCAGCTGCATATTATTGTTGCTTAATTCCTGCAATCCCTTGATACCCGTGATCTCCTTATTAGAGCCAATCCATCTGGCATGTGGCCTTCCTCTCTTCCTACTTCCCTCCATGTTTCCCATTATTGTCTTTTCCAATGAGTCCTCCCTTCTCATGATGTGTCTGAAGTACGATAGTTTCAGTTTGGTCATCTTGGCTCCCAGGGAGGTTTCTGGTTTGACCTGCTCTAACACCCACTTCTTTGTCCTTTTGGCTATCCATGGGATCCTCAGCACTCTTCTCCAGCACCATATTATCTCAAAGCTTTTTTTCCTATCATCTTTCTTAACTGTTCAGCTCTCACATCCGTATATGGTAATAGGAAATAAAATAGCTTGTATGATTCTAACTTTTCTGCTGAGTTGTATTTCTTTGCATTTTACGATCTTTTCTAGTTCTTTCATAGCCACCCTCCCCATTCTTAGTCTTCTTCTGATTTCCTGACTGCAGTCCCCATTTCTATTAATGTTTGATCCCAGGTATGGGAATTCTTTTACTGTTTCTGTTTCTTCATTGTCTAGGTTGAACTTGTGAAGGTCCTCGGTGGTCATTATTTTTGTTTTCTTGCATGTTATACCCTTCATTTCCCACAGCTTTTTTCTCCTTGCACCATGATTCCCTCAAATTCCCACAAATTGTACCTTTCTCCCTCTCTTCTTCTTCCTGTTGCTTCACTTCATGCCTCTGCTTGCTCTCGGATGGAGCAGCAGCAGCAGCAGCAGCAGCAGCAGCAGCAGCACAATGCTGCTGGTGCAAGACAAAGGAGTAGGGGAAGAGGGAGATAAAGCAAGAGTAACAAGGGCAGCAGAGGAAAGACATGCAATGCAATGATGGGGATGGCTCTTTTCTTCCTACATCAGGCATTGGGGTGATACTAAATACCCAATATAAAATGGAACTTGATGGGAGGCATATATTAAAAATGCATCATGTTTCTTCCTCAAGCAAGTTATGAAAAAGAATGGAGTCCATGGAACCTTAAATACTGATTACTGTATTGCAGCTTTTCCACTGCTTTGTTGTATCCACCCCTTCATTCCAGTTCCTCCATTGCTTTCTGTGCAATCTTTTCAAAGGCCTCTGCAAAACAGACTTCAGTTGGACTTTTCCCCTGAAATCTAGACAGATGCCTAAAGTTCTAACACTGATCCACAAACTAGAAATTGGATTTACAAGAAGGTGTGTCACAAATGACAATCATAGTGTCATGGAAGCCAGGCTTCAGTAGTTAAAACTCAGAAGTCATTTATTAAGATACTATGGATCCAGTCCAGTGTCATTCATAGTCAGAACTGTTCATCAAACATTGAAATTGTTTAATTAAACTACACACAATTTCAAAGTTCAGAAGGCCTTAATTCTTATTCATTATAATAAAAATCCACACTTCTCTCTTTCCCATACTACCCCCTTTTTTGTTGTTACAACCACACTCTTTCACAGAAATTAACTTGATTGGGCTTGCCTCATGCTCGCCTCCATTCCAGAATTATCTCAGCACCTATGTCTGAGAGCACCATGATTTAACAATAACACTTCTACTATATAAACCATCACATCTAATTCCCAACATCTTATGGCAGGTGAGTTGTCTATGCAACTCCTGATACATAGGTGTAAAATTTCAATAATTGGCTAAACATACTCTAAGCTGGGGCAAGCTTGTTTCTCAGAAAACAATTGGACAAAAGAGTGACTATTTTTTTTATTGGTTTCACTTACACCTCACTTTTCTCTTAAAATTGGATCCAAGGTGGCCAATATTTCCCCTCATATTCTCACTCCTACAAGAGCTAGATACCTGTTCTTTGTATGTTTGTTTTAAATGAAAACATGGAATTCAAGTAAAAAAAATGTCACTAGGAAGTGTGCCTAGAATGTGGGTAGAATCTGGGCAGATGGATAGAATAGGCAGTTGTTTCACTAGGAGTGGCATCACCTGGTGCAGTAACTCATGGTATCACACCCCCCCCCATTGACTTCATCCCATACCACACCATACAGAATCCTTAGTTATGTTTTTTGTACTAATATTACTCATAAATCATAATTCCCATATATTACTGAATGTAATGGTAATAGTCCTGACATAAACAACTAGGAAAATTAAAATTATGCCTTTTAATTACAATATAATACACACAGCACAAACATACTTACATGTACATTGTTTCTTGTGTTTAAAGTGAAAATTGGGTAAGATGTGATGTTTTTAAACAAAAAATATTAAAATTTAAAAAAAATCAAAATTGACATTTAATTTTTTTAAAAAAAATTAAGTGCTCTCCTTTCTCTTCCCATTGACCCTCACACCATCTCTTCAGCATTTTAAATGCTGTAACCCTTTTCGGTTTGAGAATAGTGCTGTCATTCTCCTTAGGGTGTAATCTAATATAGACTGCACCCTTGGCACCCCCACTAGTTTTGCCCCTGAAAATGGGAAACATATTTTCCCAATCTCTTTGGCATCAAGAAAAAGATAGAGCAATCTGAATTAATACAATAGAGCAGCCTGAATTAATTAATTCATGATAGCTTTTTTTTTTTTTTTTAAATTGGTAACTGACATTTCCTGATGGAGAATACAATCACAATATACAATCTTTGTGTGACAGATTGAAATGATAAATGAGAAGGTATAGAATGGAAAGAAATCTGATTCCAGCAATTTTGTCTCTATACTCTTTTCTAAGAATGAACACAAACTTTAAACTCAGTAAATTCAGTACTTTATACTGGAATCAAATAAGTATATCAGACATAGAGAGTAGGATCCAAAGAATTGCTTTAATTCAAGCTAAAGGTTTATATTAGTTCAGCTGATTTTTCATTTCTTTGAAGAACTATTTTTTCTGGATTGCATGCCATATTATAAACTGCATTTCATAGCCTCCTAAGTTTCAAAAGAATTGGACATGCGGTGCAGTGCTGGATTCTCACCACAGTCCAGTTCCTAATGCTTTATAATTCTCCTTGCATTCCAAACAACACAACACAACACAACAAAACACTTTCTTACCTGGATATAACACTGAAACATTAATGTAGACTGAATTCAGAAGCAAGTTGGGAATTGCGTGTTTAATGTAAATGAGTTTCTTTGAACAGACAAAATAGAACTAAAAGGGGGTGTTATTTGTGCCTTTGTAAATAATGTAAACTGTTTTCCTATTTTATGTTTTTTTAAAAGGACATTCAAGGGATTGGCAAGGTAGCATTTCCTTCCTTTCCAAATCTGGGAAGCTGTAAATGTGAATTGCACTTTCATTGTTTTCCACAGGTTTTAAAGTCGAGGAGTCTAACAGTCTGACATGTGGGTAGTTTCCCTCTTGGGTTCTCCATGCTTCTCTGTGAACCTCTTTCCATAAAATCAGACAATGCAGTATGATTTTCTGTATTAAATATACCTCCATTTAGACATGCCATGGCTGAAGAGCTTGCACCTGCAATGGAATTTCCTTGTACATTGGGGGCTACTATGGAAGAGGCAACATCTTGTGACTTGAATGACAAAATGTTTAAGCCTGAGCATTATAAACAAAAAACAAGATAAGCACAATCACATAAGCCACAAAACTGATCTTGGACTGTTCTGTGTGTTGCTGAGTCAGGGCCAGCTAGCTTACAAACTGGGAAGAATTGAAAAAGCAAACATTGTTTATTTGGAAGTTGTGAAATTCTGCCTCTTCTCACAAAAATCAACTGCTGTTGATTTAGATCAGTTGTGAATGTTTTTAGTTTGTTTCCCAAGACTATAATTGACCAAAAATGCTGACTATTGAGGACTTGAAAACATAATGGATAACAACATTAGAGAGATCCTTCTTTACTCTTACCTTTAATAGCCACAGATCATTCTGGGGCTTCCCTCCTGTCCCTACTCCTAAATAATGATAAAAAGTAACAGAACAGTTCATAGTGCTCTGTTTTATAAAACAAATTGATATTCTAAAACAAAGCAGCAGTTGTAACTTATGCTTATGAATGCTTATTATTTGGTAATTGAGAAATGGAGAATTCAGGAGTGGAAAGAATAATAATAATAATAATAATAATAATAA